TTATTGTAAAAATTACCAAGTCCGAGCGTTATTTTTAGTTACTTTTATTTTTTATTTTATTCTAGTTTTGTTTGGGGCTTATGTTTTGTTAGGACAAAGGTTTCCTCACCATTCACCTTAGAAACTTAAAAATAGAAGAGAAACCAACTCACCAACGAGAGAAAAGTGCCGTAGTTAAAAATTGCACACACTTGCGCTCCCGAGCGGAAAAAAGTAAGTCCGCACCAAGAAAAGGGGGGAGACCCCACAAGCACAACTTAGGAAACTTGCTAAACCTTAAAAGAATAAAACATCCCGAAAATTGTCAAAAAGAATAATGTAAAAGGTTAGTGAGTATTGTTGGAAAATAGGCTGCCAGACAAACAGAAAGTTTATTATTAGCCAATAAGTATGTAAATGAGGGGAGTGATCTCACTCAGAATTGTGACGTCACCTCACAGTATAAAGACAGAACCTCAAGTGAAGACAAGCGAGGCAAGCTTCTGTTAGCAATGAGAGTGGTGAGCTTCATAGCAGCAAAAGAGAGAGGTGTCCAATAGGATAAAGTAGTTCCAAAGCGATTTTGAAGTTATTCGATTTGTGGATCGAAAATTAGAGAAAGTCTTGAGAGTTGAGGAAAAGGTTCCTAGTATATTGAGGTGATGATTAGGATCTTTAATTCATAAGAATTATTGAACATAAGTTAAGTCTTTGAATTTTTGTCGAGTTCCAAAGGGGAATAGATTTAAGTTAGAAAATAGATTGATTTGAGTTTTGTCGGGTTGATTCTTATTGATTTTCATTGAATAAATTGTTATTTGATTTTTTTACTACATTTTGTATATAGTTATTACTAGAATATTTATTAAATATTTGATTGTTATTGACTAACTTTGTCATTATTTAATTCGGTGCATGCTTAAAGTCCAAGCCTGGCACATTAACGCAAATCCGCGTAAAGTACCCATTTGGTAATGGCTATTTCTGGCACACAGCCATGTCGATAATCGTTGTAGAGGGCGGAAAAATAATATAGTACTTTACAGCAGTTCATCACTTCTCAAGTTGTCCCAAAAACATTGAATTTTTTCTAAAAATAACATGATCATGTGTCCAAGGAAATGCTTTCTCAAAGTGAATATATTTAAAATGCATCATTATGGGTGATGAAACATAAATCACCTTTTGACAAAAGGTGAAGCAAGACTGAAAAGATAACTTCAAAGTCAGTCAAAAATAATGGTCATGTTGACTAATTTCTTCAATTGTTGTGGTGTTGTGAATCACAAATTCTTCCAACTGGCCAAACTAACAAAGAACATTATTTGAACACTTTGCATCATTTGCATGTAGCAATTCATAAAAAACAACCTGATTTGTGACAAGAAAACTCATGGATTCTGCACCATGATAATGCACTTGCTCAAAATGCTCTTGTTTCTCATTAATTTTTGGCCAAAAATTCAACAAATACAGTTCCACTAACTCCATATTCGCTTGATAAAGCAGAACGTGACTTTTTTCTGTTTCCTCAACTAAAATTTCAGTTTCATGATCATCATTTTGAGTCAATTGATGCCATAAAACAAAATTTGTTGCAAGTTTTGAACAGATTTCATAAAAATGACTTTAAAGAATGTTTTAAGGATTGGAAAAACATTGTCATAAGTGCTTTGCAATGGGAGAGGATTACTTTGAAGAGGACAAAATAAATTTTGATAAATAAATTCAAATCCGGCATTTTATTGAACCATTTCCAGTACTTTTTGATCACAGAGGTAAATAAGACATCTTCTTCTTCTTCGTGCCATATCAGATTTCTGACGTCGGCGACACCCAGCGCAGATTAATAATACGCCAAGGTGTTTACTAGGGAAGGTTAGTACCCAGAGTGGTTTCCCGTTGCCTTCTCTGGGGCGCGATGTTACGCGAGGGGAAAGAATGCCTTCTGGGAGGACTTTTATGGGGAACAGGCCTCCTATTTAGTCGTTATCGGCAAGGAGAAAACCCGGAAAACTCCAAGCAGCCAGCCTGTCCGATTACGGTGCAAGCCCACGACCGAACTCCCAGTGTTTAGGGTACGAAGACCGCTCGGCCACTGGTGGGCACAAATAAGACATATCAATGCAAAAATTTTATTGCAGTTATGGCTAGGTATTTTTGTTTTCTTGTGCAGTATGTCACATATACAAAGTTTATAAAATTTTCAAAACTAGAATTGCCAGACAATTCAAATTGATGTCTTTTGAATTGTTAGTCCCCATGAAAATTTAACCACTTAAGCTGTTTTAATTATGATTTCATTATTTAATTTTATCAATAATAAAAAAATAATTATAAAATAACCTTAATACTACACAAATAAATAAAAAATTTGTTGTCAAGTTTGTTAAATATGTATATTATTGTAAAAATTTTTAATGAAAAATAAAAATTAATAAAACTTTTAAAGATATTCAAAACAAATATGCACAAATCTAAATTATTTCATATTGTGCTGTAAATGGATTAAAACAATTAATTCTCATTAAAGTTTAATAATATTGAATCTTAAAAATTTTTTTTAGCTTAAATATCGTTATTATTTAAATTTCATAATAAATCTTGAATTTCTCATCAGTATTTACTATAGAATTAAAATCATGAGATAAACTGTAAGAAACATAATACTTATTGACTACATTTTAATAAATTTACTTAAAATTATTTAAAAATTTATTTTTGTCAATTTTCTTGTTTGTTTTAATTTTTACTTCAAAATTTCTAAGTTACTTTTAAAATAAAGAAATAGAATAATAAATTTTTTTCATTTTCTTTTCTCATATAAAATAAAGAAATAACCATATGGATAGTGATGGAAAATCAAGATAAACGAGAAAGCACAAGAAGTGAAGAAAGAGAAGATACTGAGAGGCACAAATAGGGCAACCATACTGGATCAATGTGGTTCTACTGTAATTGTCAACAATTATACATAATTGCTCATATACATAATAACTTAATAAGCTTTTTTTGGAACTATTGAGTTAAATAGTAGTCTTTGAATACTGTGATATATTGTAGATTCTGATCATATTCGAATAATAAACTTATTGATTTGTATAAACAAGTTTTATCTCATAATTATCCACTTACACCATAGCAAAGTCAAGGGTTATTCTTTCAATCCTGTATCATGTATACAAACTCTTGTTACCAACTGTTCATCATAACAGTCTTATTTACTTACCTTATTAATGTCATTCATTCACTTATTGTTATCAATATAGGCAAGTCCCAAAGTGACCACAATAACCAAACTCTACTGTATATTTCAATGATAAAGTTTTTGTATTAGATTGGATCAAAGAAAAATCATAGTTTATGTAAATGTTTAAATTCTTTATTTACATTATTTTCTTTTATAAAAAAAAATATAGTTTACCTTCATAGTAACTTCTTTCTCTTCAACATTACTTTCTATACTTTCTTCATCACTTATCATTGGATTACTTATTATATCAGATTCTTCATTCTGTTCATCATTCTCAATTTCAGAAACTTCCATTTGAAGTTCTTTCATTTGTGGAAACTGCAGTTTTGGTTTTTCGATTTTATCTATATAATTATTTTCATCTTTATAAATACAGTATAATAATGTTCAATAATATAATTATTAAATTTTTATATGAAATAGTTATAAAACAATATTACCACCATAATATTAAATATAAAATAAAATTACAGAAAAGCTTATAAAACAATTATAAGAAACCAAACTTTATAGTATAAATCAAGCTTTGCAAATCTTTTTATTAAAATTTACAGCATCAAAACCATAAATGCAATCGTTCATAAATTATTGGTAACTAATGAATGAAGAATTTTTATTTATTGTTGCAAAAATTTTCAATTAAGAGAGAAGAAAAAATTTAAGAGCTCCAGAGTCATTATTTTCATTTTGTTTATGTTTGTATTGTCTAATTCAATGTTAGTCCATTCAAACTGATATAGTATTCAAGCCAACTTTCTTATTTAATCAAAGTTTGTTTGAATAGCTGGAAAGGAAACAAAATACTGAGAACAATATTTCAAAATATAAATAAAAATTTCTATATCTTGAATCAAGGTTGCCTGCAGAATTTTGCCTTGGGATGAAACATACAAGATTTGAATCAGCTAATCTAATCAACTAATTGATTCACTGAAATTACAATCCTTAAATGAATTTGTTTCTACTTGCACTATCTTCATATATCACCACAAGAATAAATAATTAACATATTTTTTTCAAATTTAACACTTATCAGAATTAATAATCACTCAAAATTGATGGATATCTATAATGTTATTTTTTAAATAACTCTAATTATCAAATTATAAGATTAAAAATACAAAAATAATAACAGCAGAATAATTTATAAACATACTATAAATTTGTGTATACTAAAAAAAAAATTTATACAAACTTTAAATTTACTTTTGTTCAATTATAAATAATAGTATAATGAAAACTGAATAAATTAAAGTAAAAATGAAATAATGATAATCAATATGACAATGATAATTAAACCAATATGTTTTAATAGATGCCAAAACATATTGGTAAGATTTATTTCAATAAAATATGCAATTTCATAACAGAAATGATATTATTAAAATTTTAACAGAAGTACAAAAATATTAGTGGCATATAGATAATAAAATATAGTATGTATAAAATAAAACACTTCTTATAGGCAGGTTAATATACAATTCCATGATAATTATAATAATTTTAGTCAAAGGTGAGAACAGATTAAATTCAGTTTTTAAGATATCAATTGATTAGAAATATTTTATTGATACAGTATTTAAATTAATACAGTATATTGTGATAACATGAAATAATTTTTATTTAAAGAAAGGCTATCACAATTTTTATTTGGTCATTCAGTAAGTGTGCAATTCAGTGGAGTAACTAAGATTTTGCTCTGGAGGTGATTTGAAAGGGTCAAAAAATATAATCAGAATAAAGAAAAATTAAGTGTTCCTTAGACCTTATTACTGACAAATGAGCATCCTTTACATATCTGCCAGCAAATGTTCTAGGATGGGTAGCAAATCTATGGCATGTGCCCAAAGTGGCATGTCAGAAAAATCATCTGGCATGTAATGTAACATGCAATTTTGGTTTATTACTTTTCTTTTTCAACGATCCTTTTGGTTTATCACCTGATCATCCTTTTTCCAATCAGCTTCTATACATTTATTCTAGTTAAAGTTTATTAATTTCATATCTTTAAATATTGTTAATCAAAGTAAAACTTTGACACAAACAAACATTTTTAAAGATAAGCATGCTTGCATTATGGCACACGGACTCAAAAAGGTTCCCCATCATTGTTCTAGAATGTACTCTAATCTGTGGTGTAAAATGATACACATTTTGCAACTCCTCTTCCCCTTAAAATGTACCTATGGCATACTTATGGAAGTGATGTCAGTGTTGGATCTGCACCCTGGAGGCTTTAGGAATAAAATTTGATAAAATGCAAATAAGGAGACAACTCATTCTCTAACATTAACAACTATTTTATTTGTGACATACACCAGTGTTCCGCAACCTTTTTCTACTCGCGGTACACCTATGACTCGACACAGCACACCAAAATGTTATTCCCCTCAAAAACGTATATATTATACTATAAATAAAATTATGTAATGCCATTAACCTATTATTATTATTATTATTATTATGTTGGGTTTTGTGAGTTATACTCGGTTCACACNTGCATAGTGTAAGTTATTTCCTGTTAAATTAAACAGATTTTTGTGAGATTCTTGTCATCTGTGTCTCCTCCGCCACACCCACACGCGTTCGACCCTAGATCATTCTGACGCGGGATTAACGATTCCCCCCCGGAAGTCGGCGAACTTACAGAGTTTTTTGTGCACACCATCACCTCGTTTTTATTGTAACTGATTGGGAGTTTATTCTTCTTGCTCCAGTCACTGACCGGCTCTAGAACCTCATTAGCCTTCTTTTGTAGAATGTCACTATTCTGATGCGCTATCATTATCAGCATATCGTCAGCAAACCCTTGTGCCTTGATATCTGGGTCCAAGTCAAGGCTACAAAGCAGATCATTCTATACCAGGTTCCAGAGTCCGGGCCTCTTCTGGAACCCTGCGGGCAGCCTCTGTTAACACTCTTTTCCAGGTTAATTGTCTTTGAGTAATAGCCCACAGTCCTTTTTTCCAGGTAGCTGCTAGTCAACCTATATATGTTGCTCGGGCAGTTAGTTTGCTAAGACTGACACCACTGTGTCTTCTGGGTAGACACAGAGACCATGATGGCCACTTATTTCTTTTGTTGTGCACAAGCGGTCACATTTGTAGGTGCCCAGATTGAGGATAGAGATGCCTGAGAGATAACTGGAAGAAGTGCATGCTACTATGAAGTTAACAATTAACAATACCTGTTTATTTATCTAGACTAGTTACAAGCTATCTACAGATGCTTAATGGATGCTAATAATATGATATATATATATAGGAACCTTATTATTATGATCACAACCCTGACCACGAGAGAGAGAGAGAGCTTACAATTGTTTGCACGTTGATAAATACCTTAGTAGAAGCTAATCCCTTTTTGGACTCTCAGAATCGGCAGATCATTGGCTGCTGGCCCACCAGGTGATTTGGAAGAAGATTCGGTGACTCATAGGGGTGAAAGATGATGTTTGTCTTGAGGGGGCAGAGAATTGGAGACAGCTTGAGCAGTATCCAAAATAGGATCAGGCACAAACACTAGTTTAAAGAACTATTGATGACAAATATGTACAAATATGAACTATCATGACAATGAATTCCCACCTTTTTTATTCCGGGGGGTCTCTCGTGGGTTTTTCCCCCATGACTTCATTAAGAATCATCACACAACTGTCCAATTGTTGAATTTAAATTGTTGGTTCCAGATGACACATTCAATGTGTCACCTCAAACAAAAAACCAAGTCCATGGGAAAAGTTTTAACCATATCTTCAATGATTTTTCTCTCAAAAATTTTTGAATATAATTTTTTCGTCGCATTTGGCTCTCACATTATTTTTGAAATATTTCTTTCAGCACGACACATCCAGGGTTTTAATTAATAAAGCTATAATAACAAATTCAGTTAAACAGATAAAGCAATGCAGATGATTGTAATAGGAGAATTAGAAAATAATGCAATGAAAAAAAATAATAAAAGGAAATTACAAAAAACTAATTGACAATCTAATAAGTAACATTTAAGAAAATAAAAGATGGAAAAACATAGAAAACTCTAAATGGTTAGTTGGATTTGGGGATTTTTGGCACAAGAACTAAGTAGATCAAAGTGGCAGGTCTAGCCTGTTATGTCCCTGTATGTTCTTTTGAATCATATGAATATGTCATAATCTTTCTGTTGTATGTCCTACAGTTCTGTAAATAAGTTTACTGCCTTCAGATATGCCATTGTAGGTTAAATTTGTCCATTATCATCTAGTATATTCCATAGAGCTTTGTCATCTGAAAATATTTGTTGTCAAAGTGTGTTCTTTGGCTGTCTTGTATTGAGGGCATGTTAGTAATATATCACTGTGACCAAAAAGTATCAGGAATGGTTCATTTAAACTGCATTTAAATGCACAAGAGGGTGCTGTTGTCATTTTTTTTTTGTCATTTGATATGACTTTTGTCAACATCCAGCAGCAATTCATATCATCTGTTTTTGTTTGCAAATAAATGCATGTTTTCTGTGTAAAGAATTTTTTCTCTGGCAATTTTTCAAAATATCAAGTGTAATTGAGCAAAGAACATGCATTAAATTTTGTTTTTGCAACAGAATTATTGCTGCAAAAATGTTGAAAAGTTACAAAAAACCTATGGTGACAATAGTCTAGCAAAAACAAGAGTTTTCAAGTGGTACAAGATATTCAAGGAAGGCAGAGATCATGTTGAAGATAAACCACACTCTGGTAGACTATCCACTTCAACTAATGAACAACACATTGCTTAAGTCAGAGATTTGGTGCTCAATGACCATTGTTTAATAATTAGGGACATTATTGAATATGTTCCAGTATTATTTGGATCTTGTCAAGCAAATTTAAAAGATCATTTGGACTCGCAGTGTAAGGAACCAAGTCCGAGCGTTATTTTTAGTTACTTTTATTTTTTATTTTATTCTAGTTTTGTTTGGGGCTTATGTTTTGTTAGGACAAAGGTTTCCTCACCATTCACCTTAGAAACTTAAAAATAGAAGAGAAACCAACTCACCAACGAGAGAAAAGTGCCGTAGTTAAAAATTGCACACACTTGCGCTCCCGAGCGGAAAAAAGTAAGTCCGCACCAAGAAAAGGGGGGAGACCCCACAAGCACAACTTAGGAAACTTGCTAAACCTTAAAAGAATAAAACATCCCGAAAATTGTCAAAAAGAATAATGTAAAAGGTTAGTGAGTATTGTTGGAAAATAGGCTGCCAGACAAACAGAAAGTTTATTATTAGCCAATAAGTATGTAAATGAGGGGAGTGATCTCACTCAGAATTGTGACGTCACCTCACAGTATAAAGACAGAACCTCAAGTGAAGACAAGCGAGGCAAGCTTCTGTTAGCAATGAGAGTGGTGAGCTTCATAGCAGCAAAAGAGAGAGGTGTCCAATAGGATAAAGTAGTTCCAAAGCGATTTTGAAGTTATTCGATTTGTGGATCGAAAATTAGAGAAAGTCTTGAGAGTTGAGGAAAAGGTTCCTAGTATATTGAGGTGATGATTAGGATCTTTAATTCATAAGAATTATTGAACATAAGTTAAGTCTTTGAATTTTTGTCGAGTTCCAAAGGGGAATAGATTTAAGTTAGAAAATAGATTGATTTGAGTTTTGTCGGGTTGATTCTTATTGATTTTCATTGAATAAATTGTTATTTGATTTTTTTACTACATTTTGTATATAGTTATTACTAGAATATTTATTAAATATTTGATTGTTATTGACTAACTTTGTCATTATTTAATTCGGTGCATGCTTAAAGTCCAAGCCTGGCACATTAACGCAAATCCGCGTAAAGTACCCATTTGGTAATGGCTATTTCTGGCACACAGCCATGTCGATAATCGTTGTAGAGGGTGGAAAAATAATATAGTACTTTACAGCAGTTCATCACTTCTCAAGTTGTCCCAAAAACATTGAATTTTTTCTAAAAATAACATGATCATGTGTCCAAGGAAATGCTTTCTCAAAGTGAATATATTTAAAATGCATCATTATGGGTGATGAAACATAAATCACCTTTTGACAAAAGGTGAAGCAAGACTGAAAAGATAACTTCAAAGTCAGTCAAAAATAATGGTCATGTTGACTAATTTCTTCAATTGTTGTGGTGTTGTGAATCACAAATTCTTCCAACTGGCCAAACTAACAAAGAACATTATTTGAACACTTTGCATCATTTGCATGTAGCAATTCATAAAAAACAACCTGATTTGTGACAAGAAAACTCATGGATTCTGCACCATGATAATGCACTTGCTCAAAATGCTCTTGTTTCTCATTAATTTTTGGCCAAAAATTCAACAAATACAGTTCCACTAACTCCATATTCGCTTGATAAAGCAGAACGTGACTTTTTTCTGTTTCCTCAACTAAAATTTCAGTTTCATGATCATCATTTTGAGTCAATTGATGCCATAAAACAAAATTTGTTGCAAGTTTTGAACAGATTTCATAAAAATGACTTTAAAGAATGTTTTAAGGATTGGAAAAACATTGTCATAAGTGCTTTGCAATGGGAGAGGATTACTTTGAAGAGGACAAAATAAATTTTGATAAATAAATTCAAATCCGGCATTTTATTGAACCATTTCCAGTACTTTTTGATCACAGAGGTAAATAAGACATCTTCTTCTTCTTCGTGCCATATCAGATTTCTGACGTCGGCGACACCCAGCGCAGATTAATAATACGCCAAGGTGTTTACTAGGGAAGGTTAGTACCCAGAGTGGTTTCCCGTTGCCTTCTCTGGGGCGCGATGTTACGCGAGGGGAAAGAATGCCTTCTGGGAGGACTTTTATGGGGAACAGGCCTCCTATTTAGTCGTTATCGGCAAGGAGAAAACCCGGAAAACTCCAAGCAGCCAGCCTGTCCGATTACGGTGCAAGCCCACGACCGAACTCCCAGTGTTTAGGGTACGAAGACCGCTCGGCCACTGGTGGGCACAAATAAGACATATCAATGCAAAAATTTTATTGCAGTTATGGCTAGGTATTTTTGTTTTCTTGTGCAGTATGTCACATATACAAAGTTTATAAAATTTTCAAAACTAGAATTGCCAGACAATTCAAATTGATGTCTTTTGAATTGTTAGTCCCCATGAAAATTTAACCACTTAAGCTGTTTTAATTATGATTTCATTATTTAATTTTATCAATAATAAAAAAATAATTATAAAATAACCTTAATACTACACAAATAAATAAAAAATTTGTTGTCAAGTTTGTTAAATATGTATATTATTGTAAAAATTTTTAATGAAAAATAAAAATTAATAAAACTTTTAAAGATATTCAAAACAAATATGCACAAATCTAAATTATTTCATATTGTGCTGTAAATGGATTAAAACAATTAATTCTCATTAAAGTTTAATAATATTGAATCTTAAAAATTTTTTTTAGCTTAAATATCGTTATTATTTAAATTTCATAATAAATCTTGAATTTCTCATCAGTATTTACTATAGAATTAAAATCATGAGATAAACTGTAAGAAACATAATACTTATTGACTACATTTTAATAAATTTACTTAAAATTATTTAAAAATTTATTTTTGTCAATTTTCTTGTTTGTTTTAATTTTTACTTCAAAATTTCTAAGTTACTTTTAAAATAAAGAAATAGAATAATAAATTTTTTTCATTTTCTTTTCTCATATAAAATAAAGAAATAACCATATGGATAGTGATGGAAAATCAAGATAAACGAGAAAGCACAAGAAGTGAAGAAAGAGAAGATACTGAGAGGCACAAATAGGGCAACCATACTGGATCAATGTGGTTCTACTGTAATTGTCAACAATTATACATAATTGCTCATATACATAATAACTTAATAAGCTTTTTTTGGAACTATTGAGTTAAATAGTAGTCTTTGAATACTGTGATATATTGTAGATTCTGATCATATTCGAATAATAAACTTATTGATTTGTATAAACAAGTTTTATCTCATAATTATCCACTTACACCATAGCAAAGTCAAGGGTTATTCTTTCAATCCTGTATCATGTATACAAACTCTTGTTACCAACTGTTCATCATAACAGTCTTATTTACTTACCTTATTAATGTCATTCAATCACTTATTGTTATCAATATAGGCAAGTCCCAAAGTGACCACAATAACCAAACTCTACTGTATATTTCAATGATAAAGTTTTTGTATTAGATTGGATCAAAGAAAAATCATAGTTTATGTAAATGTTTAAATTCTTTATTTACATTATTTTCTTTTATAAAAAAAAATATAGTTTACCTTCATAGTAACTTCTTTCTCTTCAACATTACTTTCTATACTTTCTTCATCACTTATCATTGGATTACTTATTATATCAGATTCTTCATTCTGTTCATCATTCTCAATTTCAGAAACTTCCATTTGAAGTTCTTTCATTTGTGGAAACTGCAGTTTTGGTTTTTCGATTTTATCTATATAATTATTTTCATCTTTATAAATACAGTATAATAATGTTCAATAATATAATTATTAAATTTTTATATGAAATAGTTATAAAACAATATTACCACCATAATATTAAATATAAAATAAAATTACAGAAAAGCTTATAAAACAATTATAAGAAACCAAACTTTATAGTATAAATCAAGCTTTGCAAATCTTTTTATTAAAATTTACAGCATCAAAACCATAAATGCAATCGTTCATAAATTATTGGTAACTAATGAATGAAGAATTTTTATTTATTGTTGCAAAAATTTTCAATTAAGAGAGAAGAAAAAATTTAAGAGCTCCAGAGTCATTATTTTCATTTTGTTTATGTTTGTATTGTCTAATTCAATGTTAGTCCATTCAAACTGATATAGTATTCAAGCCAACTTTCTTATTTAATCAAAGTTTGTTTGAATAGCTGGAAAGGAAACAAAATACTGAGAACAATATTTCAAAATATAAATAAAAATTTCTATATCTTGAATCAAGGTTGCCTGCAGAATTTTGCCTTGGGATGAAACATACAAGATTTGAATCAGCTAATCTAATCAACTAATTGATTCACTGAAATTACAATCCTTAAATGAATTTGTTTCTACTTGCACTATCTTCATATATCACCACAAGAATAAATAATTAACATATTTTTTTCAAATTTAACACTTATCAGAATTAATAATCACTCAAAATTGATGGATATCTATAATGTTATTTTTTAAATAACTCTAATTATCAAATTATAAGATTAAAAATACAAAAATAATAACAGCAGAATAATTTATAAACATACTATAAATTTGTGTATACTAAAAAAAAAATTTATACAAACTTTAAATTTACTTTTGTTCAATTATAAATAATAGTATAATGAAAACTGAATAAATTAAAGTAAAAATGAAATAATGATAATCAATATGACAATGATAATTAAACCAATATGTTTTAATAGATGCCAAAACATATTGGTAAGATTTATTTCAATAAAATATGCAATTTCATAACAGAAATGATATTATTAAAATTTTAACAGAAGTACAAAAATATTAGTGGCATATAGATAATAAAATATAGTATGTATAAAATAAAACACTTCTTATAGGCAGGTTAATATACAATTCCATGATAATTATAATAATTTTAGTCAAAGGTGAGAACAGATTAAATTCAGTTTTTAAGATATCAATTGATTAGAAATATTTTATTGATACAGTATTTAAATTAATACAGTATATTGTGATAACATGAAATAATTTTTATTTAAAGAAAGGCTATCACAATTTTTATTTGGTCATTCAGTAAGTGTGCAATTCAGTGGAGTAACTAAGATTTTGCTCTGGAGGTGATTTGAAAGGGTCAAAAAATATAATCAGAATAAAGAAAAATTAAGTGTTCCTTAGACCTTATTACTGACAAATGAGCATCCTTTACATATCTGCCAGCAAATGTTCTAGGATGGGTAGCAAATCTATGGCATGTGCCCAAAGTGGCATGTCAGAAAAATCATCTGGCATGTAATGTAACATGCAATTTTGGTTTATTACTTTTCTTTTTCAACGATCCTTTTGGTTTATCACCTGATCATCCTTTTTCCAATCAGCTTCTATACATTTATTCTAGTTAAAGTTTATTAATTTCATATCTTTAAATATTGTTAATCAAAGTAAAACTTTGACACAAACAAACATTTTTAAAGATAAGCATGCTTGCATTATGGCACACGGACTCAAAAAGGTTCCCCATCATTGTTCTAGAATGTACTCTAATCTGTGGTGTAAAATGATACACATTTTGCAACTCCTCTTCCCCTTAAAATGTACCTATGGCATACTTATGGAAGTGATGTCAGTGTTGGATCTGCACCCTGGAGGCTTTAGGAATAAAATTTGATAAAATGCAAATAAGGAGATAACTCATTCTCTAACATTAACAACTATTTTATTTGTGACATACACCAGTGTTCCGCAACCTTTTTCTACTCGCGGTACACCTATGACTCGACACAGCACACCAAAATGTTATTCCCCTCAAAAACGTATATATTATACTATAAATAAAATTATGTAATGCCATTAACCTATTATTATTATTATTATTATTATGTTGGGTTTTGTGAGTTATACTCGGTTCACACCAGTGGCTGTGTACTATGCCGGACCAGAGTCAAGGCATAGCAACCAAAACAAAACTAAAATTAAATAAGTGTGTCAGTGTGTGTGTCTGTATTCAGGAATTTCCTAACAATGTGGCATGTATTCAATATAGTGGCCTTCTGTAGTGTGATGTATGTATTTCTACTCAATTGTAATGTTCCCAGGCTTTTGTGTAGTGTGTGTGGTATCACACCTGTACAGGAGAGAACGACAGGTACAATAAGCACCCTATCCATCCTCCACAGATGCCTTATTTCCTGGGCGAGTTCTGTGTACTTGCTAATTTTTTCAGTGCATGTGTTTTGTACATTGTGAGTGTTTGGAATGGCTATGTCTATAATGTATGTGATTTTATTGTGTTTGTCAATGAGTGTGATGTCTGGTCTGTTGTGGTAAATTGTTTTATCTGTGATTATGGCTCTGTCGTAGTACATTTTGTGCGTGTTGTTTTCCAATACTGTCTGTGGAATGTATTTGTAGTATGGTTCGTGGATGGCTACCAATTTGTGTTTGTATGTAAACTCTTGGTGTATTATATTTGCTATTTGATTATGTCTATGTAAATAATCTGTCTGTGCCAAGAGCTTGCAACCAGAAGTAATGTGTTCTATAGTTTCTGGCATGATGTGATGTTTTCTGCATGTGTTGTTTGTGAGTGTTGTATCTGTGAGTGTGTTTTCTATAGTGTTTAGTATTTATGACCTGATCCTGTATGGCAATCACGAATCCTTCCGTCTCCCCAAACAGGCATCCCTGACCTAACCAGCTGTTTGATGCAGTTTTGTCAACAAAATCCTGGGCCAGGTAATAAGAATGCCTACCATGGAGTGCCTTTTAAGCCCATGATTGCTTGATGGTGTCTATGCTTTTTATATGTTGTGTCATGTCTGTATGAAGTGAGTATAAGTTTAATGGTGTGTTATTTGAGTCTGCTAGAGTTACTGCTTTATGTAACTGTAATGTTTCTTGTTTTTTGTAGAAAAACTCTTGCAGTAACTGTATTTGTAGTGACATGGTTAACTTTTAACCATGTCAATCAGGCCACGTCCACCATCTTTACGTGGAAGGGTTAATCTTTCTGTGGCAGATTTAGAATTATGTTGTTTATGCTTAGTAAGTGCTGTTCTTATTTTCCTTTGGAGTTGCTCAAGATCTGTGCGAGTTCAATGTATAACTCCAAAAGAGTATGTGAGTACTGGGATGACATATATATTTATTGCTTTAACTGTGTGTTTTGCATTTAACTGTGTTCTGAGGATAGCATTTAACCTACTTTGGTATTCTTTAATTGATCTTTGCTTTATTTGTGTATGTTCCGTTAGTTTGGCCTGTTGGAATCCTAAATACTTGTAGAACTCACCCTCTTCCATGGATTCAATAACATCCCCATTTCCAAGTGCAAAATCTTCTTTCTTCAGGATTCCTTTTTTTTCTATGTGAAGTTTTTTGCATTTGTCTAAGCCAAACTCCATTTGTATGTCCTTAGTGTATGAATGTGTGATTTGTAGGAGTTGATGAAGTTGTTTTTGTGTGGATGCATAAAGTTATACGTCATCCATGTACATGAGATGTGACAGCGTAAACTGTGTTGTTTTTTCATATCTGATATTGTAGCCATATTGCATGTTATTTAACATGTTGGATAATGGATTCAGGGCTAGGCAGAACCAGAGAGGATTCAAGGAATCTCCTTGAAAAATTCCTCGCCTAATGAATATTTCCTTTGTTTGTATGGAAGTGTTACTAACCCTGAGATGTAGGGTTGTTCTCCAGTGCTGCATAGTGTTTTGGAAGAATGCAGTGAGTGATGGATGTATTTTGTACATGTGTAGAATATGTAGCAGCCAACTTTGTGGAACACTGTCAAATGCTTTTATTATTATTATTGTTATTAAACAGACATCAATTGTGCATTTATTAAAATTTATGAACTTTAATTCACTGTAGAGTGTATAGTGTAGAAAATACACTTTTCTACTACTATTAAAATAAATAATTCTACTCATACCTTTTCAATGTGATATTTGCACCTGCTTAGCTGCACACAGATGGCTGATCTGTGGTGGAATCGTTGACATTGCTAGTCTCATTTCTTCATTGACAGATCTGAGTCTCTCCCTCTTTGATGTTTTAATTTCAGTCAATGTCAAGAAGCCCAGTTCATAGAAATACATAGTTCAAAATGACAACAACATATTAACTGCCATCTCGAAGATAGCCAGGTATTCACTCCTTATTACCAACCAAAATGTATCCAAAGGCACTTCGAGGAGTTGTAATTTCAATGTTCTGTCTACTTTTAATTCCACGAGTTCTTCTTGTAAATGATTAGGTAGAGATTCTGAAATCGCAACGAATGGATTATGAACCCAGTCAATATCTTCAACACTGTCTCCAAACTACTTCTTGAACCTCTGCTGCAGGATTTGTAAATGTTCTTTAATTATGTAAAGTACTATTTTTAATTTGTTGCTCTACAACGATATTTTTCTTAGAGCCGGGACCTAACGGGTACTTTACGCGAGTTCGCGTTTGTTAGTTGCCAGGCCTGGACTTTTAGCGTGCACCGAAATAAATTAAGTACAAAGTTAGTCACAAAAAAATCACAATAATAAATGTTTAATCAAATTTAACCAATACTATGTACAAGATTTATAAACAAACAACAAATTTATTAATCAAAAATCAAATCACAAATCAACCCGACAAACTTAAGTCTTATTCTAACTTAGAACTATTCCCCTTGGAATTCCGACAAAACAAAATCCAATTCTTAACTTAGATACAAATTCTCTTATAGCTATCAATCCTAACCGTCACCTCAANCCTATAAACAATAAACAGTCAAGGTTGCCAGGAATTCAAGGTGTTAAGAAATATGGACATAAGTTTGAAATTCACAAGCCATTATTGGGTCTCTTGTCTTGTGACAAAGCTACACTGCCCATATCAACACCTAGACTGCAACAATAGTCTGATACTAAGCACTTACATCTTGTTTATAAACCAGATCAAAAGCAACCAGATCAAATAATGATCCCCAAAAGATTTCAGATGCAAGTGAACAAAATACAGAAAAGCCACATCCCAGTGATCTCCCATCAACACTGTTTGAACCAAGTGCATTCCTGCATGAATGGAAAACTATGTTACATAGAGAGAGAGATGTTATGTATTTGGACTTTGGGCTAGATCTGAGTGGTCATGGGGACTGTCGCCAAGAGAGGACAACAGTATGAGCATGGGAAGCACATGGTCATTCGATTCCTACAACTCAGGGACAACATGTCTTGTTCTTGTTGCTCCAACTAGTTTTTAACAAAGACCAACTATAATAAAGAGTATCCCAGTGTCCAAGCATGGTGTCTGGATTAGTAAACTATGGCAAACACAGAATAATTAAAGATTTAAAACATGTTCTCAGGAAATAAATGTGATTAAGACATAACATTTGTCATCTTTTGTATTAAAAATTGTCAAATCAATGAGAATACACAACTACTACTCTCCATACATTAATCAAATAAAACTTTCTTATCTTTAATCTATGAACAATTTGTACAATTTTAAAATATTTATATTTGTTTCTTAAATATAATTATTATACCAATTTTATTTAAATCAAATATTTAAACATTTCAATCATAAAATATATTTCAATATCAAATATTAAAAATTTTTTGCAGCCAGCTAAATTAAATTTAGAAACATTCTAAAATAATTACCTGACCAGTAAATTCTTCTTTATTGTAACAAAATTTAAAAACATCCTTAATATTGAAAAGTGGTAAAGTGATCTAAATTTTTAAAAATTTCAAAACATTAATACTTATTTAATACCCAACTAGATGCTTCTTAATTTCCACAACACCACCTTATCTCACTGAGAATTATTTATTACTTTTAAAAAAGATTTTTAACCTGTTCTACAGGCCATCTTCAGATTTTTTAAAAAGCCATGGAACATTAATAACTATTCTTTTTGAATAGAACAGTTAAAAACACATTTAAAATACAAAATTCTTTGGAATAATAAGTTATTTGAATCCAAAGAATAAATTACAGTAATATATATACAATTTAAAATAACAAAATAATAAAATATAATAATATAAAGGGAAAAAAGAAAAGAAAAAATTATATTCATAACACCAGTCGTTGATTGTATGAACATTATGCAGTATTCTCCAATAAGTTTTTTCAATCATATATTTTAACACTGTGAAAATATTTTTTATTTTCTTTTTTGTTTTTTTCCTTTATATTATTATATTTTATTATTTTGTTATTTTAAATTGTATATATATTATTGTAATTTATNTAGAGGGCGGAAAAATAATATAGTACTTTACAGCAGTTCATCACTTCTCAAGTTGTCCCAAAAACATTGAATTTTTTCTAAAAATAACATGATCATGTGTCCAAGGAAATGCTTTCTCAAAGTGAATATATTTAAAATGCATCATTATGGGTGATGAAACATAAATCACCTTTTGACAAAAGGTGAAGCAAGACTGAAAAGATAACTTCAAAGTCAGTCAAAAATAATGGTCATGTTGACTAATTTCTTCAATTGTTGTGGTGTTGTGAATCACAAATTCTTCCAACTGGCCAAACTAACAAAGAACATTATTTGAACACTTTGCATCATTTGCATGTAGCAATTCATAAAAAACAACCTGATTTGTGACAAGAAAACTCATGGATTCTGCACCATGATAATGCACTTGCTCAAAATGCTCTTGTTTCTCATTAATTTTTGGCCAAAAATTCAACAAATACAGTTCCACTAACTCCATATTCGCTTGATAAAGCAGAACGTGACTTTTTTCTGTTTCCTCAACTAAAATTTCAGTTTCATGATCATCATTTTGAGTCAATTGATGCCATAAAACAAAATTTGTTGCAAGTTTTGAACAGATTTCATAAAAATGACTTTAAAGAATGTTTTAAGGATTGGAAAAACATTGTCATAAGTGCTTTGCAATGGGAGAGGATTACTTTGAAGAGGACAAAATAAATTTTGATAAATAAATTCAAATCCGGCATTTTATTGAACCATTTCCAGTACTTTTTGATCACAGAGGTAAATAAGACATCTTCTTCTTCTTCGTGCCATATCAGATTTCTGACGTCGGCGACACCCAGCGCAGATTAATAATACGCCAAGGTGTTTACTAGGGAAGGTTAGTACCCAGAGTGGTTTCCCGTTGCCTTCTCTGGGGCGCGATGTTACGCGAGGGGAAAGAATGCCTTCTGGGAGGACTTTTATGGGGAACAGGCCTCCTATTTAGTCGTTATCGGCAAGGAGAAAACCCGGAAAACTCCAAGCAGCCAGCCTGTCCGATTACGGTGCAAGCCCACGACCGAACTCCCAGTGTTTAGGGTACGAAGACCGCTCGGCCACTGGTGGGCACAAATAAGACATATCAATGCAAAAATTTTATTGCAGTTATGGCTAGGTATTTTTGTTTTCTTGTGCAGTATGTCACATATACAAAGTTTATAAAATTTTCAAAACTAGAATTGCCAGACAATTCAAATTGATGTCTTTTGAATTGTTAGTCCCCATGAAAATTTAACCACTTAAGCTGTTTTAATTATGATTTCATTATTTAATTTTATCAATAATAAAAAAATAATTATAAAATAACCTTAATACTACACAAATAAATAAAAAATTTGTTGTCAAGTTTGTTAAATATGTATATTATTGTAAAAATTTTTAATGAAAAATAAAAATTAATAAAACTTTTAAAGATATTCAAAACAAATATGCACAAATCTAAATTATTTCATATTGTGCTGTAAATGGATTAAAACAATTAATTCTCATTAAAGTTTAATAATATTGAATCTTAAAAATTTTTTTTAGCTTAAATATCGTTATTATTTAAATTTCATAATAAATCTTGAATTTCTCATCAGTATTTACTATAGAATTAAAATCATGAGATAAACTGTAAGAAACATAATACTTATTGACTACATTTTAATAAATTTACTTAAAATTATTTAAAAATTTATTTTTGTCAATTTTCTTGTTTGTTTTAATTTTTACTTCAAAATTTCTAAGTTACTTTTAAAATAAAGAAATAGAATAATAAATTTTTTTCATTTTCTTTTCTCATATAAAATAAAGAAATAACCATATGGATAGTGATGGAAAATCAAGATAAACGAGAAAGCACAAGAAGTGAAGAAAGAGAAGATACTGAGAGGCACAAATAGGGCAACCATACTGGATCAATGTGGTTCTACTGTAATTGTCAACAATTATACATAATTGCTCATATACATAATAACTTAATAAGCTTTTTTTGGAACTATTGAGTTAAATAGTAGTCTTTGAATACTGTGATATATTGTAGATTCTGATCATATTCGAATAATAAACTTATTGATTTGTATAAACAAGTTTTATCTCATAATTATCCACTTACACCATAGCAAAGTCAAGGGTTATTCTTTCAATCCTGTATCATGTATACAAACTCTTGTTACCAACTGTTCATCATAACAGTCTTATTTACTTACCTTATTAATGTCATTCATTCACTTATTGTTATCAATATAGGCAAGTCCCAAAGTGACCACAATAACCAAACTCTACTGTATATTTCAATGATAAAGTTTTTGTATTAGATTGGATCAAAGAAAAATCATAGTTTATGTAAATGTTTAAATTCTTTATTTACATTATTTTCTTTTATAAAAAAAAATATAGTTTACCTTCATAGTAACTTCTTTCTCTTCAACATTACTTTCTATACTTTCTTCATCACTTATCATTGGATTACTTATTATATCAGATTCTTCATTCTGTTCATCATTCTCAATTTCAGAAACTTCCATTTGAAGTTCTTTCATTTGTGGAAACTGCAGTTTTGGTTTTTCGATTTTATCTATATAATTATTTTCATCTTTATAAATACAGTATAATAATGTTCAATAATATAATTATTAAATTTTTATATGAAATAGTTATAAAACAATATTACCACCATAATATTAAATATAAAATAAAATTACAGAAAAGCTTATAAAACAATTATAAGAAACCAAACTTTATAGTATAAATCAAGCTTTGCAAATCTTTTTATTAAAATTTACAGCATCAAAACCATAAATGCAATCGTTCATAAATTATTGGTAACTAATGAATGAAGAATTTTTATTTATTGTTGCAAAAATTTTCAATTAAGAGAGAAGAAAAAATTTAAGAGCTCCAGAGTCATTATTTTCATTTTGTTTATGTTTGTATTGTCTAATTCAATGTTAGTCCATTCAAACTGATATAGTATTCAAGCCAACTTTCTTATTTAATCAAAGTTTGTTTGAATAGCTGGAAAGGAAACAAAATACTGAGAACAATATTTCAAAATATAAATAAAAATTTCTATATCTTGAATCAAGGTTGCCTGCAGAATTTTGCCTTGGGATGAAACATACAAGATTTGAATCAGCTAATCTAATCAACTAATTGATTCACTGAAATTACAATCCTTAAATGAATTTGTTTCTACTTGCACTATCTTCATATATCACCACAAGAATAAATAATTAACATATTTTTTTCAAATTTAACACTTATCAGAATTAATAATCACTCAAAATTGATGGATATCTATAATGTTATTTTTTAAATAACTCTAATTATCAAATTATAAGATTAAAAATACAAAAATAATAANAAATACAGTTACTACACTAGTGGTATGTTACATAAAAGGACAATGTTATGTCAATAAAAGACCTCAGTGACAAGACTGCTGATTGGAGCAAAACACAGAGGATCACAGATGCAATCTAAGACCAGAACAAGAGATGCTATGCGTGACACGATGGGAAACACCTACAAAGTGCATGTCCATGGTTGCACAGAAACAGGCAACGAAGACAGTGGACAGATTCACCAGTCAACCAACCACAATGCTGGTGATGAGAGTGGTGATCCCACCAACTGTCAGTACAGAGTGAAACAGCAGAAGGATCCCCGCATGTTGTTTCAGATGGAGTCTGAAGAACTGGTTAGGTTTGACATAGGCCTGAGTTATACTTGAAGCGACTACAAGAGTTTATGAATTTGGCAAACAGCTCAAAGATCTCTTGATCCTCACAGAGGGTGTTGAGTTCAGGAGGCCAACAGAATCCCTTCCGTAGACAATGGTAGATGAGTTCTTCCCGCTGGCTTCCATACAGTGTACAGTGAAAGATGTAATGGAGGGCATCTCCTTCAGAGATACCATCACAACCACACCTGTCATTATTGATCTTTTTGAATCTTGTAAAGTACAAGGGAAAGTTACCATGACCAGACAGGCATTGCGTGATGACATGAGAAGTGGTGAAGTAGCTGAGAGCCTGTCTTTTATTAATCGAAGGAAGAAACTTGTAAGTGGTTCTGCCAGTGGTTGAGGTAGCCCAATCCTTTTGCCACTCCTCCATTATACAGTCTCTGATATTGTTCTTGATATGTGTGATGGGAATTTTAGAAAAAGTGGTGGTGATGTCTGTTGTGGTGACCTTTTTAGCAAGGGCATCAACGTGCTCATTGCCTTTATTACCTGTGTGCCCAGGCACCCAGATAAAACTGAGTTGAGCAAATTTTCTGAGGTTTCTGGCAAGATGTCTGACCTCCACGCCAGTCCTTGTGCACTTATTATTGCTCGAAAGGATATTAATCACATACATACTGTCTGTGTTGATACAGATGCTGCCATTGTAGATCCTCCTATTTTTAGTGATGGTGCTTAGAGCTTTATATACAGCTAGCAGTTCTGCCTGGTTGTTAGTGCAGTGCATGTGCGGCCTGCACATGCACTGCACTAACAACCAGGTAATATTGCTAATGCTGAATCTCATTCTCACTATCATAGATGATGAAGGCTGCACAGGTACTCTTATTGTTGCATAAGCCATCTATGTAGATGTTCCAGTGGACTCTGGTGTCTCTATAATGATTGTTCCTGATATTGATGGTATAGCTGCTGGTCTCTCCCAGGTTCATTCCAAGAGTACTTCCAGTAAGATAATTGTCTAACTTGTAATTAATAATGAAGTCAATTGAGTTCGCACTATTAAAGGGAATCAATCCCTTGCTACAGAGGTTTCATATCTCCTCAGTGGTAATATTCTGATGGTTAATGGTCAGCAAGTTCCACTGCCAGAAGATCTCTTTAATCCATAGGTGAATGGGGATAATGTTAGCTATAACCAGCAGTGCATCGGTGGGGGCCGTGTGATACGCCCTACAGATCCTAATAGTAGCAGGCCTCTGGATAGACAGTAATTTCCTCTTGTTATAGGCTAATGCCGCTCTGTTCCCCCAGACCTGCACTGCATACAGAATAGCAGGTTCTATCACTCCTCTGTAGATTAATTTACAGTTCCTACTGCCAAGTCCCCAGGTGTTTCTGGAGATGTAGTTGAAGAGGTTTACTCTCTGCTGAACCTTTTTACAGATTTCCATGATATAGATCTTCCAACTTAGCTTTGGGTCCAAGTAAACCCCAAGGTATTTAAGGCAAGATACAATTTTTAGTTTTTTCTTTTTCAGGTAAATGACCAGAGGGCACTGCAGCTGCTTCCTCCTGGAGTTGTGAGGCCCCAAAAATGAGTTGAAATTAAATATTTATTATTAGACATTTATTAAAACAGAAACAAAAAAAAATTGTCTATTGTTAAAAACCGATCAAAGATCGAATTAGTTGTGTTAGTCATAAGAAACCGCGATGAGAGAAAAAAAAATTTTATTGATGTAAACAGAATGTAATAATTTTAAATGATTAATTAATAATTGTAAACAAATGACCTCCAGTAGAGATGGACCTTTGAAAAGTCATTCATATGCACATAATTAGAACTTAGAAATTTGGAAAAGAGGAAAGATTAATGACGAAAAAGGACATCGCGTCCTGTCATTAAATTTCAAAAACGTCACAGACTAGACAACAATGGTGGAAAATATGAGCGCAAGTTTCAAAGTTCCATCAACATTTTGCAGCCAGAATAATGGATGGTGTCAAGTAGATTCTTCAAGGCGGATCTTTCTCGTGACTCGAAAAGGAATCGTCTTTCACTTAGAGACAGACGAGGGAGCCAATCAGAATAAACAAATTAGAGAACGGAGATTGATATAATCCCCGATCTTCAAGGACAGAGNCTTGTAGTCCGAAACACATGCTGTTGTAGTCACAAATGCTGCTTGTTTTTAGTTTTGTTTGAACAACCGACGAAAATAATTGACATCTTTGTTTGACAGAGAAGAACGTTCTGTTGACAAATGTTGTTTCAATTTACTGGGAACCATAGCAGCATTATTAAGTTTTTCACCACAAACAATACACTTGGGGATTGGGCATGTTTTATCACCACACCAAAAAAACCATAAGATAAATAATTATCATTATATTGCCGGCACACTAATTTTTGTTTCTTTTTTTTTGGGCTCAATGCTATCACTACTTCTACTTGTCGACAAAACACTCCATATAAGGAATTTGTTCATCTTAGAAAAAATTAAATAGTCTAATAATAATAGAAAAAAATAAGACTGACTAGCAAGCACAATTTTCAGACTACTTCAGAGCACAGCTGAGATAGAACTGAAATATTTGCAAGACACGGGACCTATATTCTTCAAGGGGAAGTCTAACAATGGGTTGGTGAATTGGTATAGAAAGAATGTAATAAAGTTGAGGAAGCACTAACAAACAGGGACAAGTACCAAAATAAAGTAATAAAGGACAAAGCTAATCCCAGCACTATTGGGAAAAGCACGTACACAGAACAATTGGCAAGGGTAACAAAACATGTGTGAGCAAATTTATTTTATATTTAATTTCTTAAAACAGTGTTTCTTAACAGGGGGCCGTGGCCCCCTGGGGGTCCATAAGAAGTTCTCCAGGGGCTGCCAAATTATGCAAAATTTCCTTCAGAATATAATAAAAAGAAAATTAATGTATAACGGAATATCATATTGAAAAGTGAAATAAGAAAGATAAAGTTTTGTATTTAGTTTTCTTTTATTTATTTCTTCCTATATATAACTTTGTTAGTACAGAAGAAATAAATGCAAATATGCTACTTACACCGCAGTATTTACTACTTTTATTCCAAAGTAATTCTAAGAAACTATTAATGCTTGGAATTTTAAAAATAATTAGGAAAAATAGTAGGCTTTGAAAATTTAAATGTTTTTGCAAAAGATATGCAAAATCTTTACAAGTTGTGAATGTTTTAGTTTTAGTTTAGTTTTAGCATAGACTTTGGATCGAATAATAGTTCATTTCTTTCTTATATTGTGTGTTTAGTTTTATTTATTTATAATTAACCCATAACTTTGAGCAAAAAACAGAAAGGAGCATTACAAAATTTTTAAATGTAAGTAATCGCAGACTGAGATCTTCAAAAGGAAAACATAGTGAAGAAAATACTAGTGAAAGTTCCAATGATGATACAGTGAAAAAAATGCAATGGAAAAAAACCACAAGTCCTAAAACTGAAGGTATAAAATTAAGTAACAGGAAAATTAGAAAATACGATCGTGATTATATCAAATATGGGTTCGTAAGCATAAAAGTTCAAGAAATTTCATATGCGGTGTAGTTCTCTTCAATGAAACAATGAAACCAAATAAATTATTAAAAAAATGGGGTCATAAAAAAATTATAAATATTTGGTGGGCCGCGAGTATAAAGATTAAAAACCACTGTCTTATAGAATACATAAAAATGCGTGGCTTGTAATAAAAAATAAATAAACATCATCATTTTTCACCAGTGCTGCGTCAGAGAATGAAATACAAGCATAAGAAACACAGCAACTGTGATAAAAATATATAAATAAAACTTGACAATTAATAGAATATGTAAAAGTTCACGTCACATCTTTCACCTTGTGACGGCACATCGGCTGCGGAACACTGACATACACATACATAGTAAAGGAAAAAGGAAAGAAAACTTTGGAAAGCCCGCCAATTGTATATAGAGCTCGAACGCCCTCTGGTGACGCTAGCTTTAAAAACCTTAACAAAATTTAAGCTAAAATAAATCGTCTTACACAACAAATCTAAAATTACATTCTATTAATGAATAATTCGATATCAATCAATTATTTCATTTCTTATTATAATAAAAAAAAATGAATACTTGGTTATCAATGCTTACTTATACTACATGACTGTGGATTGTTTTAGAAGAAAGATCATAGTTCAAACATCGAGTTTTTCTCAGTTTCCTTCTAGATATATCAGGTTGGTCCTAGATTAATGGTGTGGCACACTATTAATCTAGGGTTCCCAGATGTATCAATTACAGATTATACAATTACAGAGTTTCCTCTAAGACGAACACGAAGGTCGAGGCATTATTTTTCAGTGGTATTAGTGGCATGCGAATTTGTTCTTATAAGTCTATTTACTAGTCATATGATTAAACTATCAGTTAGAAAATATTTTCAGAATTTTTCTGTCATTTTTTCAATATTGAGTCCGCGAACTATTGAACACGCAATTAATTAAAGGGAAGTTTGCCAAAAATACATCACTGTACAGTAGCGTGTTATAGCTTCACGAGGCCAGGCAAAGTTATTCGGGTTATTCGGGGAACTTTTTCTAGGAGAATTATATCCCCAAAATCCCGGTATCAAGTATCGAGATTGGATATTCAGTATTCTCATACATTTTCTTAACATGACTTCTAGATGGTTAAGTCAACATGTAGTAGTGTGGGATTAAGTTAACTAAAGTTGTGGCACACTGCACTACTAGTGTGCCACATCATCAATCTACAATTCCCAGATATAACCCAAATTTAAATTTCAACATTCTTACTACATTAAGGAGTTTTAAGAGACTGGGGCCCCAGGCAATTGCCCTTTTTGCCCATAGGATAACGTGCCACTGTCACTGTACACAAAGGGGAAGGGGCAAAAGTGTCATTTTACTATCACTTTTCTAGACATTATATACGTTCTATGCGATAATTTAAAAATTGCTGTATATAATGAACAGAAAAGTGAACAGTAAAATCATAAAAAATGGAAAAATAAAATCTATATTTGAAAATTTAAAACAACTTCTCTCAGAATCACTGGGAAGGGTAATCAACCCACGAGAACCTTATTAAAATTTGTCGTTACTGAGATATAATAAGGTTCTCGTGGGTTGATTGAAAATTTAATTAGGTAGTCCTACTGCAGCACTTCCGATTACGCTTACACACAAGATGGCGACCGGGAGTGCTGCCATAAGATTACCTAAGTAAACTTGTTCCCATCTGGAATTTGTTTCATAAATTTACCTTCTTGAATTTCGATTTCTTCTTCCTTTTCTGAAGTATAAAATAACAGTATCGTGTTATTTATATCAGTCGTCGTGAGAAATTCGTATAAAATTATTTCGCCATATCTCTGATCTCCTTCTAAAAACGAATCGAAAACTTTCTCTTCAATAAGAAACGCCTTACATACTACACTCTTTATCCATAAAATCCTAAAATCATCCGACATATTTGATATTTTTAGATATAAACGATTTACAATATCGAATAGGAACTATGTTTCGATTTAAGTTGTTAGCTCCGTTGTCATAACAACGTTCGTAAACAAAATATCGTCTGCTTCTAATAGGTAATGTTGCCACCTGCGTCAATTTTAGCTGCCGTACATTAATACAGTATTATCATTATTATGTATTCAAAATAAAGATTAATTATATTTTATTGCTTTTGCTTCATAAAATATTTTTATACATTTGAATAACTTACAAAAAACTAAAATATTCCAGATAATTTTCGACTGGCATTTCAGACCGGATAGCCGAGCGGTCAACGTGACAGCTTACCGCTCTGGGGACCTTTTTTTATACTCTTTCCGCCCCGTGGGCACTAGGAGGGCCTCTTATAGCAGGCCCATTACGGGTTCGGCCAGGTCCAACTCCTTATTACCTCTTAGAAGGATTTTAACTTCAATATTGTGGTTCATAACATGACAAAGGGTAAAATGTGCTTTTTCATTGTAAATATTTTCACAAGTTAGAACCAAAGTTTTCACAAACTATAAGTACGAGCAATTATTTATTCTGACACGGTGACAATGCCGGGCTGCAATTTTTGTTATATTTTAAAATCATTTAATTTAAAATGTATGCTCTCCACCTCAAATTAGTAGTGACTTGCCCCTGTACATCATACTTTTCTGTTAGCAATAGAGCCATCTATGAACTGCTTCCTGGGGGGAGTTTTGAATTGAAAAAAATTGTGACTTCCGGTTTGCATGGGAAGTTCATATATAGTTAATTGGAGCCTCCTGTTCGTATCTGGTCTCGGATTTCATCTAACTCCGTTCTCAAGATTAAGACAGACAGTGAAAATTTAGAGGTCTACAATTTTTTCGAATTGCAGCTCCCTGAAGTCACCAGTCGACACGAACTAACGGATTGCAATGTTTAGAATGTCGATGGGAAAAAAATCCCTGTTTTGACTCTGACTCTCGTAGACATGCCAAAATTTGCAAATAAATATAGCATTCCTCCGAAAGCAAAATTGTCGCGTAGCAGGAATACTTCAAAACCTATTTCGATGATAAAGTATGGTTTTAAAGCTAAAATATCGACAAAATATTCCAAGCACACCGTACTGTACGAGGTATACGCTATCTGAACGTCACAACACTAGCGGCATCTCGTGGTAAAAACCAGAACTACGGCTACGGAATCGTTCTGTAATTAGACGCCAGTGTTCACACAGCTAGCTGCGCTTCTGCCCGACATGGCGACTGCTGCGATGCATCTCGGCATTGTGTCTTGACCTTATGTTTATAAACCTTGCAGCAATCAAGTGTAGGCAGAAATGAATCGATATATATAAATCCATTCGATAATTTGGAGTGGGATTACGGCATTATATAAATTAGAAGTATTTGAACGTAACTGTCGAGTATCGTAGCAATTGGTTGAACGACTTATGTCGATTTCACATTATGACCGATGGAGCGATTTTTAGTGACAAAACCAGTCAGTCAGTTGACCAATAGTACAGTCGGAGAGATTTAAAAAGTTGACTATTGGTAGTCGGATCGGAACAGTCGGTGAGCTACAGCCAATGAGAACTTCCAAACTACAACCGACGAGATTTTGGATATATGAAAACTATCAAATTAATCAAATATCAGTTTACATTGTATTATTTCTAATTTTTAAAAACTTTCCCTTGTACCTATTTCTTTCAGAACTGCCTAAATTTTATATGGGAAGACATATATTAAAAAAAACATTATTGGCGTAAATGAGAAAAGATGGCAAAATTTAGACTTTTCGAAAAAATTTATAAACGAATTATGATGATATTGGCGAATTTTAATCAGGTAGATTACAAAAATATTTTTAAAAATTAGGAAAACTTAAAACGATTGGACGGTGTTCTGATTGGTCATAATGAATCGGCCACCTACACCAGCGTATTCAATGTGAATGGTTTTGCTATCGGTTGGGTACGTTCGGTCAGTCATAGTGTGAAATCGGCCTTATGCGTGCGTAGCGAAAAAACCAGGGCTGTGGAGTCGCGTAAAAATCTACCGACTGCAACTCCGACTCCGACTTTTCCTTACCATCCGACTCCGACTCCAACTCCGACCAGGGGCGGACTTGTTACCGAAATAGACACGGAAATTTTGTTGTCATCACGTGACTTCAGAATAAACGATTCAATAAATAGAGTTCTAATAACGATAGAACGTAGAAACCTTTTATTCCAAAGCTAAAAGACTCCTCTAAGTAATATATAAATATAGGCCTATATTCGATAACTTTTACTTTTCCGGCTGTTATATTTAACAGAGGGAAAGTGTAGCGCTCGGTCAAAACACGAACCTTTCAAGATTTTTACATTTTTGGACTCAGGATACCTTGAAATTTCGAGATATGCAAAAGATTCGAGGTTTTCTTCAATATGTGTGGATGTTAGACTGCGTGTGTGGGGCATGATTTTGTTTACTCTGTTTGAAGCCTAATAGTTTCTGCGGTCAGAGTGATTGGAATCGGAGTCAGATGGTTTAACACAGGAGTTAATTGATTTAATTAATTATTAAGTGTCAAAGTGGTTGAACTAAATTGTGTCCTCATATACGTTCTAACATCTTAGGCGAGAACATCTTAACGGGTTTTACTGTAGAGGAGAAGGTGGTATTATGGAACCCCAATTACATTTTAGTGAATTGTAAACAAGGTATCATAACTACATTCACATTTTTTGTGCGAAAAGTACTGGTAACTAGTAATCTAAATGTTCCTAATCGGATTTTTCGCTATTGTAATTATAAGTATGGTTTTTGAAGGCTTTTGTACAAAAAGTCCGAAAGTAGGCTTAGAGAAAATCGGGTGGTAATATGGAACCTTACTGTATATTTTCAAAAAAATGCTTTAATGTAGCCAAAAACAAATAGGAAAGGACAAAAAATGTTAAA